CTGATCTACATTGCTATTTGTTCACAAATTCACAATTCTTTTTGTTCAATTTTGCACACAAAAAATGCCGGGATGGTGGCTATGAACATCAGCCGTATGTAATGGGTGAAAGACCAACTTTCAGTGCTGCATACTTTATGCGGATTGCATCCATGTAGAGAGCAGTGAAAATCGCTGACTAGGGCGTCGCATTTTTAGGTGGAGTGTCAGTTGCTTTTACATGTGCATGTTAATATCAGTTCCGGTTCACTATACGTCCGAAACGCGTGGTCCAAAACAGTGTGCTGCTAAACAATATCCAATTTCACTGGTAGCTTTGTTGGGCACTGTCCTAGGGAAGTGTTGTGTCCCCCTGCTGAATCAAACATACAAGACAAGGAATGAAGGTGCAATGTGTAAACCAAACGGTGCCCTGTGACCCCAAGGGGTACACACACACACACGTTGAACGTGTAATCACAACGTCCGTGAAGAGTTGATCGATCTTTGCTAAGCATTTGATGTCGCAAATGCATCCTTCATATCCTTGCATTTTGGGTCTACCGGCTTTCAATGTTTACAATGGAGAGTTTTTCACTCAGTGTTGCATCATGTGTTCATTGCTCACCTGGTCCTGCAGGTTATGTGTGATGGGAGAAGGTTTGTTGCACGGGTAAATGGTTTGGACAAACGCAAGTTATTTTCCGCACAGCAGTTTGGCCAAAGAATCCCGTAAGAAATGGTTTTAGCTATGTTTTTGCCAGCTGAATAACACTTACAAAACTGGGAAGGTCCATTGTCCAGGTAAGCCTTGTTGCCAGGTGCCAATGAAACACCAAAAACGACAAAACCGCATCACACCTCTCGACTGTGAGAAGGCAATGTTCTGCAGACCAAACAGTTTTTTGAAACTTTCGACTTTCGCCATACATGATCACAAACACAGTCACACAAGCCATGACGGAGGCGGGTTTGTTTTCTTTCTGTTGTAAATTTTGTTTTCAATTATTTGCGTAGGTTGACCAATTTGCGCACATTCTCTTTATCGAACTTTTCAGGGTCTCCATGGAGGTCCGAGAAGACGGTCGACACGTTGGATGCTTCTTTCTCAGTCAATGACCTTTCAGCTTGCGTTCCACACAGAGCTCCGCACAGAGAATTTGATCCTGCCAATCCTCGACTGTTGGAGATTGAAAAATATTAGGACCATTGCTCCAGCCATGTGGGCGATATGTTTGGGAACTGGTGTCAAGGACTTGACTTGTGGTTTAAGCAACAACTTCAACAAACCCAGTTATTTGTGTCAGACCGCAAGGACATCTCCTTTTTAGCCGTGAAGCAAGGTGCAATGCAAAGCAGAGGTGCCATTCCTTAGGTCCAAAACCCAAGCTTTTTGAGGAACTCAACCTTCAGTCTTTATAGTATCAGTGATAGTCTGAACACCCGGGTGTTCGAAACTTAACGCGAGCAGTGCAGCTCCAACTGTATTGGTTCCATATTTTGATTCTCATCGGACACGGTGTGACAAATTAGCTTGCAAAGTGCAGGTTTTGGGTGTCCATCGTGGGTCTGGTTGCCTAGATCACTTGCAAATCTTAAAGAGTCGATTTTTTGGCCGTGGCTGTCAATCGAATGCCGCGAGATTTGTACTCAGGTTTCGGCTGATCCAAGGAAAGCCTGGAAACTGGATCGAATCGTTCCCAGTGGGTGTCGCGGTGCTGGGAGGTTCGGATGATTCTTCAAGTGGAGATTTTTGGAAAGTGTGCTGGAAGGGTAAGTGCTCGCAACGAAACAGGCCTTCAACTGCGCCAAGGAAGGCTGCTGAGGAGGTGAGGAGGATTTTGAATTTAGAATAGAAGGCATCCGCTTTCACCAGACAGTTTTGAAACTGCAGGTGAAATTGAGTTCTGTGAGGCAATCTACCGTTTGACACTCATTCTTTTCGATCACTTCTTTGAGTTTTTGTGGTGGCCTTGTGACTGACGACCAAGCAAGGTGAATTTGGTCAAGAACATTGTCGGCGCAGGAATGTTGTCTTTGCCAGCTGGCGCACAGGGCTAAATCATGCTTCTGCTTCTGTGTTTGGAGACACTTGACTTTGTGAAGTGTGAGGTGGCAGCCTTCAGCTCAAGTCCGAAGGCTAATGGCTCAGAGTGTTGCAGTAACAATCGACAATCGCTCTTTCAGCTTCTGCGGAGTGTTGCAATTAAATCGTTTTCAGACTCTCTGAGCTTCGGAGGCTGTTTTGCCTTCTTTGGTTCTGGCACTTCTAGCTGCTTTCTTCAGTGCCTTTGAGCAAGCAGAGAGAGTGATTCCAGCAATAGGTTGGTTAAGAACGTGCCACCAGCGAACACATGCTATCGCACCAAAGACAAAGAGAATTTGCAGCAACTCAAAACAGATCAAAAGATGATTCAGAACAGTTGAAACCTTCAGAAAGGATCTTATGCGCCCAGAGATCCTGAAGACTAAAGTCGCTTCATTGGGTGAGCAGTCCAGCTTTATAGCGGTCAAAACAAACATGAACGTGTTCAGGTGCATATGGCTTTGTTGGAACCTGAGCAAGTGGAAAGCTGACCGGTGCTGAGCACTGAGCACCGCTTGGAACGTTAGGTTCTTATTGCGGAAGCATGTGCAGCAACTGGGGAGAGCACCTACACCAGGACTCTTTCACCTCTCCACACCAGTTTGCTGCTGAGACCAACTCCCTTCTTCCAGGGTTTGGGCGCGAACGGTCTCATCAAGCACCCAGTTTTTGCCAGCCATAGCCTGCCTTGCGAAGGCCTGGTTTAGTGTGTCGAAGTCACTGTGTGTTGCAGCGAGTATTCAGCCTAGTAGCAAGATTTCAACGAACTTGCGACCCAGGCTGCTATTGGATGCATAGCATTCTCCATGATTCTTGGTGACTGCATTTCGCTCATGCGGCTTTGCAGCAATAAAAGTGGTTTCGGCAAAGTCGGGTTTTTTGGCCTCTGCAATTCACGTGCGGTAGTTGCCACCCTTTTTCTTTTGAGCAGCAAGGGTCTTGACCTTGCCAGCATTGTCATGAGTCATGAGAGCTTTGCAGCCTTGACAATGACAGTGTCATAGAGTTAAATCCGCTGCTGGATTACGTGAAATGGCACAGGATCGCCCCGCTTGATTTGCTCAGCCCTCAGGACACCCAATCCCCAGCCAGATTTATGACGCAGCAAGGTTTGAAGTGGGAATGGTTTCCAAAAACTCAGAATTCGGCGATTGCTTAGTGCTCACCAATCTTCGTCCTCGAGCTAGCCTCCACCATGTTCCTGTCGCTTATGTTTCAAGCTTTGTTTTTATGTGTGAGACCCTTGGTGACATAATGAGGAACATAGAAGGTGGTATAGGTCGCAAACCTGCACAGACTGCACACAGCGAATATTCCATACAAAGTGTGATGGGGAACTGATGTAAGGCCAGCCATAGTTGCCAGCCGAGACTCTGTGATCTTGACCATAACCTTGCTGGAGCCTCCCTCAGCGTGGTGTTGAACATGTTTGTGTTTATGTATGTATATACAAACCACAATTGCTTTCAGCATTTAATAATTTAAGGAAGTCTTATATCCATAGCAGCTATTTATTTCCATTGCAACCTGGACTGTCGCAGACTCCACAGGTTACAGGTAATGCTCCCTATACCACTCTAGTGCTCTGCAGTGAGCCTGGAGCGCTGCGCCAAGGTATTGTATCCATTGTGCAGCATGAAGTCGTTTAGACCTTGGCCGGACAGGATGAGGGTTTGTGGAGCACACAGAGTACACTGAGCTTGTAAGGTTGGCTCCCTTGGCCAAGTTCTCACTGTTAGGTGTGTGCGGTTCTTAGTTTCTTGTTTCCAAGAAGCGTAGGAGTAAGAATTTGGAAGGTGAAAGTCAGACCTTACTTGGCAGCCATCGTTTGCGTGTCTGCAACAGACGGAGTATCATGATATTGTTTGCTTACCATTGATGATGTTTGCGGTACATCCGAGGCTGAGCAATTTCTACATTTGTGCCTTCATTGCGCTGCGTTGTGTAGATGGCACATACGCAAAGGCATCATCATATGTGTCCGACTTTGTCGGGGGCAGCTTTTGTTCTTTAAACATCAGGCGATCAACTTGGAAGTTTGAGGATATGATCACTGAAGATTTTGGGCTTGAGCAGACTTGGAATGACAAGCAGTTATTGAATACATATGATTTTGCGTTTAGGCGTTTAGGCCGGCCCTCAGCTTTGATGAGCAGCCTGACTTGCGAAGAGATTCATTGAATTTCCTCGTCTGAAGTCTGGTAAACTGTCGTTTTGGAAAGGTGTTGTGGGCATGAAACCAGCCCACTGCGAAGTCTGATCTAGCCATTGACAAAGACCTTCGTCTGTCAATCTGCTAGAATCTCTGATAAAGTATGCACAATCATGGAATAACAAGCAAGGACGATATTATGAACTCCTGGCCTTACAACTAGGAACAAGAAGCTACTAGGGGCTCCCGGCATGGAGCGCGGAGGTTCTGAAACCAGTTTTAGGCTGTTTGGTAGCTGAACACGGGAGGTTGGAGGCCTGTTAACGCCGTCAAAACTTGCGGCTGAACACTTTGAACATGGAGCAGATGTGCTTTAGAGAAGCATGTCTGCTCCAAGCAAATTCCCAGAAATTCTCAGAGCATTATATAAAACAAACAACTAAGTGTCCTGAATTAACGCCGTGGAATTGTGTCACCTGCAGCATTTGTTTTGTTATATAAGATTCCCCAAAAATCTAGGAGCCAAATGATTGGTGCGAGCGCTTCTTCAAGGAAGCTCCCCCCGCAGCCTGCCTTTAGGGCAGCGGGTGGAGCTTCCTTGAAGAAGCGTGAGCTATCCTGCGTCCTATGTAGCAGCTTACTTGAGCTACTAACTACCTCTTTTGGCGGCCCACCCCACCCCCAGGCCACAAAAAAACACAAAACACGTGCAGTGGCGGTCCAAACTTTCTGAACAGTTTTTTGCCTCCGCGCTACTTTCCAAGCTGACGAACCATGCAATTCAAAAACATGTGCAAAGTTCCCATTCCTTCGTCTTTCCTCTTCCACAAAAATAAAATCCAAAAACCATCAAAAACCAGAACCTCAACTGGCCCTGACCACAGCAAAAGTGTATTCTTCAGATTGCTTGATTTGACTATATGCATCCGGCCTTGACTTAAAGAACCGATTCCAATGCTTCAGAACTCCACAGCTCTAGTGGAGCCATTTTCAGGTTCCAAGACGTGCATTCCAAAATTATGGGTTTGCTTGGAACGGGTAGTTTGAGTTTGAAAGACGTTTAGAAGCACGCCTCAATGCGAACATTAGTTTGAACTGTTTGAGGCCCTTTCAACAGTTTGTGAGACATGGAAAGTCACATTCATAAGTTTCATCTTGGCAGCAGGCTGTTCCATGTGTACAACAGACAATAGCACTTCTGTGTAATCTTTTTGGAAATAGGATTGGCAGAGAGCATTGCTTGAAGTATGTGTGTTCATTTGGTCACCAGATTGAATCAGGGCAGGTGCAAGCTCAGTCAAAAATGAATCAATCTCAGTGGTGGATTCCAGGGTGGCAGCCTTTTCCATGCCGCTCCAGCTGCCCCAAAGCCTGTTCCCCAGATGTTCATATCCAAACTGTAAAGCGTTTTGATGTTCTCCAGATCAAATGCTGCTTGGCACAGGGTTTCATAATGCACGATTTCTCACGACTTGTTACATTAGTTTCTTTCGAGAGCATACCGCAACATTGGGATTTGTTGTGGTGTCATTTGCGAGAAGATGCAATACAATCAGTTCTTTGGCTTTGCAACGTTGGTGCTGGTTAGGTTTGTGACCAGTTCAGAAGGCATGTGGAGCACATTGTGTCATCCAGGTGCTGAGCTTCAGACAAATGACTTTGGCTCAAGAAAGGGATGCTTAAGTTTTCTTGAAAATCTAGGGACCAAATGATTAGTGCGAGCGCTTCCTTGAAAAAGAGTGAGCTATCCTGCGTCCTAGCTAGGAGCTTGCTCTCTAACTTAATTACGTAGGCGCCTACTTAATTGAGTAAGGGCGGATAAGTAGGGTGGGCTACAAAAAAGAGGAACGCAGACTGGAACTGGTGCCTGGAGTCTGATTCTTTGAGCCACAGTGGAAGATAAACTAGCGGAAGATATATACATGACGCAGCAGAGAGCGGGTGCTTTACATCGAGCAAAGATTGGACGGGCTTGTTCAGTTTGTGTGGCAAATCACTTTCACTGATAGAGAAACATTATGGAAAGACAAAGCAATTGAAGGAAGGATGGTGTGCTGCAATGCCATATCGAGAGTTATCAAACACTGTGTGTGCACTGACTGTTCTTTGCTTACATGCTCGTGGAATATTGGCAGCGCAGGTATCTCCGTGTTGTTAAGTATTCTGGCAACAGCGTATTTGGCGCATTACAACGTCCGGACCTCTTGTTTTTCTGTTTTGACCACGTCGAGAGGAAACGAAAACGAAGGCTCCGCTTTTCTACGAGCAGCTTGCCCCTGATGAGACAGGGAAAAAGGACGTCCTCATGCGCCATCGGTTTCTTGGAAAGAGCACGTCTCAGCCACAGTTGGAACTTTGCTTGTCAGCATGTTTGAGGACAAGCGCTTCTTTATTGTTTCAGTAACGGGTTTCTGCATCTCGGGCCTTATTCTAAGAGCGAAGCAAAGCAAAGCGAAGCAGAGTGACCTGAATCTGTGGAGCGAAGCCGTAGCGAAGCTTGTCAGGTCTGATATTTTGCTTGGTACTGGGCGGAGGCAGTTCCGATCTGGCCATTTTGATTGCCAGATTTCACTTCATTTGAAACAAGGCTTCCTGACATTTGGCCAATCAAGCATGGGGCTTATCCTGAATAACTATGCAGCAACAGATGGTCCAGGCCTCAGGTTCGCGGCGTTCTGTTGTTGAGGCACTTAGACCAACTTCATTGTAATATATAAATATGATTTGTGCACTAAGAGAAAGAGGAAGCTGAATGAATTAGACTGTAGCTTTAGAAGCCGTTTGTTAAGGCACTCAAACTATAGATTAGGCGAAAGTATTTTCTGGAAAGAAGCATGGATTTCATTGTAGAGAATTGTTCAGTGTGAGACTTGCAATCCGCGCAACGTCTTGCAAATGTCAGCGAGCACGAGTTGAACCGGAAACAGAAGATATGCAAAACTTCACAAAGATGGTCTCGGATTCACGGTGCAGAATCTATATCAGCTCACTTATGATCACGTATCATTCAGAATCTAACTGTAAACATCCAGTATAGTTCCTGCAAAGTGAGGCCTTGCTGTGCTTGCCCGGGCTGCCATTGTCCTTTCACTCGTCGGGTTCCTCAGTTTGCCAAAGTGATTCTGTGACGCAGATGGACACAAGGTGACGGCATATCCATTGGTTTTCCTGAGCTTGCGAAAGCAGGTGGGAAAAGAGTCGGCTTTTGGCGACTCATTTCAAGCACTCAAGAGTCGTGCCTTGCGGGTAGCAAGACACAATTTGTGAGTGCTTTTTGCGAGGTGGTGGAGGTTTTGGGCAGTAAAGGATCCAAGCTGGCGGAAGAGAAGTCAAGGAGAGTCACTGTGCAAATTCCAGAGCACACCTTGAGCATAGCTTTTGCCACCGTTTGAGGCTTGTAACTGTTGTTTTACTGGGAGGCAAGGCAAATGCTGAGCTTTGTTACTGACAAGTCTTGCTAAGCACCCCTGCAGCTGTCAAGGTTTGTTCATTCCTGTGTCTTTTTCGCAGATGATATTGGCAACAGGTGTTACAGCTATTGCCTTGAGGCTGGCAATCCAAGTTTTGGAAAAAGAGAGTGACCCCACATTTTTTGGCTGAGTTGGGAAGCACATCAGCTTGAGGCTACGAAACCTGGGCATCGTAGCTGCGCTGCTTGGCAGAAGCATTCTCACGGGAACTGTTGGGAAAGGCCCGCATTCTTCTGTAAGAATACTTTCTGTGGACTCTTACCTATGCGCTGCTGCTTGTTTCTAGCTTGGATGGCACTGGACTTGACCTACCACTTGCGTGGACGTTTGCTTGAAATAAAGCTGATGCTGACTGACGCTGCCTGAAGCTAAGGTATATATATATATATATATAATAGTCGGCCCTGAGCCCACACGTGTGACGGATATATACTTGTTACGAAACCGCCAGGGCAACATTTGTTTTGGGTGGCAGTACAAATAGGGGATCCCCGAATCAATCCGTCACCATGATACCCTCTGGGGAAATATATTTAAGGGCTGCCGCCCCTGCCACCGACCCCGGATTCTCAGGTCCGGCTTTTCCTCCACTGGTTGGCATTGCGAGGGTTTTTCGAACAGGGGTTTCAGTCGTCCTTTTAAAGGTTGCTCTTCTGGAATCGTCGTTTCTTTCCGGTGTCGAGGTCCGTGCCCGTGCGGAGCGTTTCATTGCCTGCTCTCTGGATTGTTTGCTAGCATTTTCCACCACTAACCAGCCTCCCAAAAAGCATCTGAAACCACCCCTTCGCCACGGCTTTAACCCATTGAGTTCTGCTCCAAACGAGCCCCAATTCCTCGGACGTTCGGTGTCAAACAGACGCTCTGGATCCCTAGAAAAAAAACAATTTGCTAGCATTTTCCACCACTAACCAGCCTCCCAAAAAGCTTCCACCAACAGCCTGCCAAAAGCTTTCCAGCCTCCCAAAAGCATCTGAAGCCACCCCTTCGCCACGGCTTTAACCCATTGAGTTCTGCTCCAAACGATTGAGTTCTGGCGGATCTATCATTATTCCCTGGCGCGCTCCCCCTTGCGTCGGCCGGGGTCGGCGGATATAGAGGGGTCAGTCTGATACCATGTATACCTATTGGTTGTACACTTTGGGGTGGTGCCCTGCTCCTACTCGACCGTCCTCGGTCAAAACATGTGGCCTCTTTTCCACAAACTTGCCTGAGCTTCAAGGTGCCTACGTTGAGGCCGTCAATCCACCCTGCAAGACTTGCCTACACACTGCTTTCAAACTCTTCTTTCTTTCTCTCAACATCAAGGCTTTCCAAGCCAAAAAGAGAATCATACTGTCAGTGTGCGGCTCTTGATCTTGTGCTCACTTTCGCTGTTGGATGTTTGAACTGCCGGGAAAACATGCGAACTCGTGATATCCTGAGCCCTTGCTTGAAGCCTCTCCGAACTTGATTTCGAAGCAACCTCCCTTTCCCACTCCGTGTTGTTTCACCCACAGAAGGTATGAATGAAAATCTGGGAGATTGGTCAACTCCATGTAGCTGTGTCGGAACTTTGCCACACGAGGAAGCTTGCGCACTGTAGATCCCCAATCAGTGAGACAACTTACGCCTGGTGGGAGCTCAACCTTTGAACTTCCATGCTGAGAGGTGGAAGGCACAGTCGGCAGCTGGGCCTTTGGAATGCCACTCTGAATCCTCTCTTCACCGAGGCTCTTCTGCTTCTCCTCACAGAGGACTTGTTCCCAATCTTCATAGTCAAGACCCTCGGCGCCGAGACGCTTTGTGCTGTCGTGCATGGATGCTGATGGAGGATCGGACTCAGCTAGTGACACGTTTGTGCCTGACGAAGCACTGCCTGAGCTGCTTTGATCTCCTCGGGAGTCACTGGCCCAGACTTGGACATGCTGTGAGTCAAGGAGTCTAGCACACAGGATCGAATCGACAAATCGCCTGGCTTGAGCACTTGAAATTCAAGAGCACTTGAAACTCACAAGAAAAACAGCAAACTCAAATTAAGGAGCCACAGTGTCTGCAAAGTCTCTTTACGGATTATCGGCTGTTAAACAACTTTGTGGCTCTCTGTGCAAAAGAAACTTAGACGATGTGGGCAGCATTGCATGCAAGTGTCTTAAACACAAATCAAGAATCCCTTTGTCTTAGACAGGTGATTCGTGACAAACCCTGGCTATTGTCAAATCAACTGCCTCACAAAAACATGCATTGACTGGCTATCTCTTGCCAATCGGGTTGGCACCTCTCTGTCGTCTTCTCTCGCGTTCTTCCTTCTTTCCTTCTTTCTTTCTTTTTTCTTTCTTCCCAAGACAAGTTGTTCATCTGCAAGCTGATATCGAGCAATTCTCAACACTGAGCGCAAAAGATCGGCTGGTTCAGCCTTGTCTTTAGTCAGGGCATCAGCCACCATGTGTCCTGTTGCACACCATCTTGGCTCGAGATTTGTCCTTCGAATGGACTGACGAATCATTGCAATATCTATTGCTGTTCGTTTGTCGTCCAAGGAGCCGCCTCCGCTTAGAGATGTCAGGTGGTCATATAAAGAGCGACAATCACAAATTCCGATTGGACTGCGTCTGGACAACACTTGTTCAATGTCATCTAGTGAAAACGGTCCATCAACACACCCTGCTAGCATTAAACTCAACCACGTGCAAATACCTGAAGCCGTGGCATAGGCTTCCCCCATTGTGGATGACTCAACCCTGGGCAACTTGTACGGTTTCCAGCAAAAGCAAAACGCTGGCACGTCTTCTCCCTGCTTGATGCGTTTTGAGGGTGAATGCCGTGATCCACCCTCCTTGTGTCTTAAGCTCACTAGAATTTGCAAAAGCTGCGTCAGACCAAAAACACATGGTTAGTTCACTCAGTGGAGTGTAGGGCACTCGAATCTTCAAATCTACTTCTTGTTTTGCCCTTCTAATTGCTTGATTTGCTTGCAACAGATCCAAGACGGAAGGCCTGGGCACACATTGTTGACTCAGTGAAGTCTGAACTGCAAGGTCCGGACGTGACTGAGTGGACAACCAGCTCAGTTGTCAGTGATCCATTTACTTCTCTGAGTGCTGTGATCTCACGCTCGGTTGCTGGAAGCCAATGCCTTCTTGCTCTCTCCTTGGAGACCCGTATTGGACTATGCTGCGCATATTCTGCCTGCTCAAAGGTGATCTCTAGGCGCTCTCTCAACAGTAGAAATGCTTCTTGGTATTTGGGCCTAAACCATTGGTAACCGTGTCGTCAACATGCGCGCCCAAAATTCCTTCAAGAACCCCTATACATCGTTGTGGCATAGGTACAAACGGCTGTCAAACTTGCTCCTAGTAAAGCGTACTGGTTGGGCAACTTTGTCGAAAGCACAGTACCATTCATGCGGTGCATCGTTTGCTCCGTTAATGTTGCCGAGAACCTGAACCAATGATCCCTTCTCATGCAACACCTGAAACCCTGCCTGGAGGGAGTTCAGCACAAACCGGGTTTCTTCTAGCCTTTCCTCAACATTGGCCTCTATAGGAAAGCCCGCTTGATGTCTCCTAGGTGCATGGTCCAGCGATTGCTGACGATCGTCTGCAAGATCAAGCTTCGGCCAAACTGTGTGAGGGTAGGCGAATGGCACTTTCCTTCTAGCGCCTTTTTGAATCAAGTCAGGATCGTGATGCCTTCTGAGGCACCATCTGGATCTGATCTTGGACTCCCCATCTTCATGTTTTTCGATCACAACAATTGGCTAGTCACGATCCTGTCTGGCTTGATTGCGCCGCAATGCCACTGCCGAAGGGTATCAGCTCTCGAATCCGCTTGGCTCGCGCAGGAGGAATCGCCACGAGAGCTTCCTTCTCATCTCTCAGTGTCACCCATTCGACCGTCTTGGATTGATCGATTTTCTCTTGCAACTCTGGTGGTTGTTCGAATGGTGAAGCTCCTTCTGCATCTGCTTCTTTAGAAAGCCTGCCAAAAGTGACATTGGATTGGGGCGTTTGGCCCGGCTTCGCGATTGGTGCGTGAGCAAACGCTCTTCACCCTCTGGATCTTCTCTACTGCTTTTCGAGTCTGGCTCTCCTTCAGCATTGGACGAATGCGGTCCTTTGGTTCCGTGATGCTCTGTCACCGTCTGTACTGACTTCAGGAGGTCGAAACCAGAAAGTTGGTGGCCCCCTCTGCTGTCCAACCTGAACTGATCCATACCCTGTTCCCGAAGAGGTTTCTTATGATTTTTCCTGAATGGGAAACGGACTCCAATGAACCGATTGATCGGGGAGTTCTTGTGGTTTGTCAGGGGATGTGTTTGTCACTTCCGGCACTGCGGCAGCTTCTGCCATCTGTCTGCTTCGCTTGGGTCTCCTGTCCACAAACCAAGTTCTTCGTTCAACGCAACTTTGTCGGCCGACGCCTCGTTTCGGAACCTGGATTCGTCTCGTTTCGGAACCTGGATTCGTCTCGTTTCGGACTCTGGATTCGTCTTGTTTCGGAACGCGGGTGAAATGGTCTCCCGAGGCTAGGAAGTGGTTTCTGGGAAGTGGTTTCTGGGAAGTGGTTTCTGGGGAGTGGTTTCTGGGGGCTGGTTTCTGGGAAGTGGTTTCTGGGAAGTGGTGTGGTTTCTGGGAAGTGGTTTCTGGGAAGTGGTGTGGTTTCTGCGAAGTGGTTTCTGGGAAGTGGTTTCTGGGAAGTGGTTTCTGGCAAGTGGTTTCTGGCAAGTGGTTTCTGGGAAGTGGTTTCTGGGGAGTGGTTTCTGGGGGCTGGTTTCTGGGAAGTGGTTTCTGGGAAGTGGTGTGGTTTCTGGGAAGTGGTTTCTGGGAAGTGGTGTGGTTTCTGGGAAGTGGTTTCTGGGGGCTGGTTTCTGGGAAGTGGTT